AGGAGGCCAGTATTTGCATCACAGAGTCAACGTTGACTACTTTTATTAACAACATAGCCTGTGCTCATGATGTGTGTAAAGTGTCCTATATTAAATGACATATATGTTGTTATGTTAGTGACAAGAGTGCCAAACCGTAATGGGTTTTTTTTCCCCCCAAATATAATGATGTCGTTTTTGTTGCCTAAATTTAACCAGGTAGTTTTGGAGGGAAACTGTAACAGGACATGTTTAAAACTGCAACTGTTAGAATGGTGATACATGTCACTTTGCAGCCACTCTTTCCATTATCACGTTGTCTCCCCAACACCATCTTATTGCCTTTCACTATCCATTAAGTGACTCATTATGTACAATTTTGTACAGTTGTGGTGACAGATTCTCTCTCCACCTCCCTACACTTGTATCTTAAGTGTAATTCATTAGCCTAAAGAGAGACACAATTCACAATAAACAAAGTTAAAGGTGAATTTGACTGATTATAATTATTGCTACTTTTATTAATTTCAGATTTTCGATGGCTATCACAATAATATTGCTATCATGAACTCTTCTTGTCCACAATAATTGTGAAGTGAAAATCTGATATCGTGCCAGAGATACAGGGTTGGCTTACATTGTCAGTGGCTTAACAGCAATTACAAAAAAACTGTGAAGGAAAAGCTTCTGGAAATGTTTAATGATCATTCATTATTTGAACACCAGCTTTTACTTAAGAATGTGCAGCACAACAAAACCACAAAATGGCTTCTCAGTTCCCCAACAGTGGAGCCAGAGTTTTTCCCATCAAAGTTGACAACAGCAAAACAAAGCAATTCTGTATTTCTGATCAAAGTGGAAGTGTTTTCCAACCCTCAAAGTGCTGCAAACAGACAAATTAATCAGAAGAATCAATATCTCTGGTGAGGAATGTGTTTTCCTCAGAGCAACATTTGTAAATCAGTAGGAAAATGAACATGAAATATCCTGTTAGAATTCTCTCATTACTAACAAACCTTACTGCTTTATAACTGAATCACACCCACTGATCTAATGTTAGAACATCAGTTCTGGATTTAGGTTGTTCATATGAATATACTGCCAGATGGGTTTTACTACTGTATATCTGGCTAACTTCCTGGTTTGATGACATCTTGCTGAACCAGCCAGAAATACAAAAAAGAAAAAAGAAAGCCATTTTGAAAAGAAGCCCCCAAAAATACAACAGAAAAATCTCAGTAATTCAACAGCTTGCTCAACAAAACACACAGTTAGTCATGAAGCATGGAGCCATTTGTGGCCTGGCTGCTGGCTGCGTTTAAAATGTGTTTAATGTTGGATTTTTCTGTTGTCATAATTACAAGTGGAAAACCATCAGGCCTCTGGTAGCAGGTTGCGCTGTGTACTGTAGAGGACAGAGGGCTGAAAATCTGGCCGCTACAAATTGATTCATTATTGAGGCTTAATTAACATCAGCCAGAAAGCCTGTAAAAACCTGTTACAGTAATTCTGGTGTCCGGCTAAGCTAGTTAGCTCTAATCTTGTTGGATACTCAGCAAAAGAAGCATTAGTATTAGTGCGATTATTAAATTACCAGAAGAGCCACACTGTTTATTGTTATGGTGATTATCGTCTTTTGAACATACTCTTGATGTCTTTCCTGTGTCTCTGAAACTGTCTCTTTTTGTTTGTTGTACCTCATCTAAATGCATTTTACATGAGCTGCCTGTGGCTTTAGTAAAAATTTGATGTTATTTTTTACTTCTGCAGAGGCAGAATTTCATCAGACGAACATTGCGTCTGGTTTAGGACTCACTGTTGTGCCTCCTGCCCCGCTCTGAGTCTCGTCTGGCAGTGCTGTGTTTTGCTGGGCTGGGCAGGGCTTGGCACTGTGCACGGGGGGACAGATGGTCTTACGTGTGATCTTGTTGGAGGTCCAGAACCATACCCCAGCAGGGACCCTGCCAGCTGACAAGCCTGGCCCGACGTCCACCCTATGGTCCCTGGGTGGGACTCCGACTGTGCCGGCAACAGGATGGGCCACCCAGGTGTCAACCAGACAGACAGACTCTCTCTCTCTTCTCTAACCACCACAGCCAGCTGTTTCTCCTCTGCTGCTGCTGCTGCTGCTGCTGCTGCACACCGCCACCATCACAAACAGGAACACATTACACAATAGGCCTGAAATCATGTTCAAACATAGGACAGAAACCTGTCATAGTAAACCACAATAATTCTCAGCCATTCTCATAATAGCAGCATGTAATAGATACTGTAACATGAAACATAACAGCAAACACATATTTCAGACAGCTTGAGCTCAGAGGCTTAAAGTCTGCTCAGGATACTGTTGATGTGTGTGTGTGGGTGGTTGTACCATATAAGCTTTTTAATGCGTCCACAATTGCCCGTGCCAGCATATTGTACAGATAGGTTTGATGGATTGAGACAGGCTGAAGCCCAACTGCAGCAGTGCCGTTTCTGTAGCTGCTTGTGTTATTCATGATGTCGCTGTTGATGAAGTTATCACGGCGACGCTCTAATCCCAAGCAACCCCATGCGACCGCTCCACAGCTTACGGCACCAGGAAATTCATCAAGTCATCATAGATCAAGTCACACTGTCATGGATGGCATTGAAAAAGTAACAAGGGCAAGCTATCGAGTGCCTGGATACTGTGGCAGCAGCTGAAAAATGCATTTATTTTAGCCAACCTCCGCGACTCTGGGCTGGCTGGGCTGATGCACTCCACGGTTAGTCAGCACTCCCGCCGCTTTGCCAGCTCAGCTTTTATTCCATGCCCTGGAAATTGAGTTTTGCTGGCCCTGTAATGTACTCAAAACTACATCTGCAACCGACTGATAAATCTACGCTTTGTTGCGCCTGACGGATGGCTGTGAAAATGAAAATTCACCACGGCATGTTGCTGTGTCAAGAGGAAGGTCACTGTAGATTTTCTCCTGCTCACTGAGGAACCTCTGCTCAGGGTGAAGCCCAAATGACCATTTTGTCTCAGTATTAATATTTTCATAGGCCTGTTCGGTTCATTGAGATGACAGGTTTCTGGATTGTTTTGTTTCACTGCTGTGTCTCCCAGCTGACTGAAAAAAACCCAGCTCCTCTTCCAGTGTGTCAACAATATCTATTATTTGCTGAGAGAATGGCTTTATATCTACAGAGTGGTAATTGTGTAATGTGCGTGTGTGGTTACATACATGAGGGTGCTGTTCAGGCAGCTTGATAAATACCACAAGATGACAGATCTTTATTGCAGAGCAGTAGTCTGGGTATGACACTCCAAAGACCAATTTTAGACTGTTAACAAGGCCTGGACCTGGAATACCTCACAGCAAAATGTCACAAGGCCTCCCCCTTCCACACCTCCTTACTCTCCCGCTCCGTCTCTGTTCCGCCCTCAGCTCTCTAGTGGACATTCAATGAATTGTAGTTCCTCTCTTTCAATTTGCCGACCATGTTACCTCGTTCCACAATGTGCCGCCCCGAGGGTATCACAGGGAGGCAGGAGCAGCGGCCTCGGCCAGGTCCGCAGAGAGCTGATAACCTTTCAGCGTTGCTTTAGCACGCTGTGTAAAGAACAATCAGAGCTTATCAGCATCGACTACAGGCAAATGCTAATTCAATGTCATGCAGACAGACTGCAGAGGGAGAATGAGAACATCACTTGGCTTTGACTCTGACGTCTCCAGGAGACAATTAACTTTAAGAAGACTGAAACTTGTTGGCTTTTTATTGCCTTTCTAATCTGTAATCCACCTCGCTAATCAAGGTATTGAAATGTTACTGACTCCTGCTATGTATTAATTTTCCATACTTTATTCTTGTCCTCAAAAAGAAATTGTACCTCTGACAGTAGGCTACATGTAAAAGAAAATACATTTAAAAATACAGTCACAGTATAAAGTCCCAACAAAATGAAAATACACCGATGCCATCTTGCAATGGGATCACTCCAGCTGTGACACAGCGATCTGTGATTTAAAGGGGATGTTAGTCGGGGGCATGAAGTAGGGCCCTTCTCTACTGGCCCCCTCACTCAGACCACAACAATTTTGAAAGTCAGCCTTAATTTTGAGCTAAACTACACAACTATGGAGTTTTGTGACTGCATCTTGCGCAGTTGTTAAACTTATGATGTTGTCAAAATCTTTCCACAGACAAACAGACACCTGGTAAAATAATCGGTTGATAGAGAATATACTGACCTTTCAGCATTATATGAAAAATACTGAATTATTTTTGATGATTGTTTATATGAATAATTATTTATATGAATTATTTCAACCTGCGGCCCCTTGCTGCGAGTGATAACCTCTCATTTGTTATTACCAAAAGCTAAGGGAAAAAAAGGTTTTGATAGACTGATGAAAATGTCTGACCCTTCTACATTTCCTGGTTTTGAAATCCGGCCCTGTTGAATTTGTAATCAAATAGCCCTGCTGTACAATTTCCTTGGCCTTGATGGTAAAAGGACAGGCACAACTTGAAAATCTCATAAGTAAACTACTTGCTGTATTGCCCGTTGAGTGCAAGATTGAGAACAAATTGTACACTGTAGCTTCAGGAAAAGCAGTCCAACAGTATTAAGTTGCAAAATTGTACAAATTACTTTTAACCTAGAACCCTTTACCTAGAATTACCTAAAAAAAATCCTTTCAGGAGGAATATTAAGCGTAACAAAATGTCAAAAGGAAAAAGCAATCTTTCTATGCAGCTGCGGTGAAAGCTAGCATTAGCAGGAGAGTAATTTATGGACCGCCAGCTGGTCTGTAAAGGTTACTACCACAGGCAATTCAGACATGGTAGTTCAACAAGAACCTAATTAAAACACTACAGGCCTGTAGACACATCAACATATGAAGATGCTTTCCTGTCTGGTGAGCATAAAACAGACAGTTTTGTTGTTTGTTCCAGAAAATGTTGACATTTTGAAGTCTCTCTCTGACTCTGTGAATCTGTCTGTCTAATTTGCCTCTTTGCCCTCTTGTCTTTCGCCCTCTCAGCGCGAATCGTGCGGAGCCGTCAGTGGTGTGAGATGGCTCCCTGCCTGGAGGGGGAGGTCTGCAGCCTCCTGTTTAACCGATCCGGCTGGACCTGCACCAGGGGCAGTGGTCGCATCAAGACCGTCACGGTAATTTACAAGACATGACATTAATATACGCCATATGCACTTAACAGCATAACGCCGACATTTTCAGCATGGGTAAACCCTGTGAGTTGATAAGTGTTATGTGAAGCCAGAGCTCAGGGCTAGAGGCTACACACAGCTCCCAGGGTTCAAAGACTGCATTAATGCTGGATCTCAAATTGTAGGAAACTTATTCTGAACACAACTATCCACTATTTAACTTTTGGACTGCCTGCTGTAACAAATCAAAGAAACCAGACTTCTGGGTACATTTCTTCATTTCACTTCATCTCTCTTGGACTCACCACATCGATAATATTGTAACGAAAGTTGGCAGAGGCACAAACAGTACGAGAAAGTGTTTTGAAGATGTTATGAACATGGTCATCATTGGTTCCAATATTGCTCTGTTGTTTGCTCTGCAGCCAATAAGAAGGTTATATAAAAGCTGCTAGATCAGCTCTGCACTGCCAATATCTCATTGGCATTGAACAAACTCTAACTAAACTATTCTGGCAACAAAACTTTAACTAAGCGTCAACTAACTGCTTTTTATCAGGAAAAATACTTTATTAGGTGATCATGTGTTCTTCTGGGACCAGCTTAAACACTTGATAATATACTTGCATCTTACTTGTAATACTAGAAAGACTCAATTACATTATCTCCTCCCAAACCGAAAATAAATGATTTTTAACTATTCTGTAGAAAACTTCTCCAGATTTGGTGCTGTTACCAACTTGCCTTGGTTACATTGCTAATACAATACAAAAAGCTTAAAATTAGGCAATATGTGCAGATGTGATGAAACTTTGTAACCTGATTGCCATAATAAATGTTGGCATTGTATGTTTCTACAAATCATGAATATGTTACATTTGCATGTTATTATGTAGTGGATACACTGAAACTTTACACTTCAACATCACTGTGATTAGCATATTTAGGTTCATTCATTCATTCATTCATCTTCTAACTGCTTCATCCTCTTGAGGGTCGCGGGGGGCTGCAGCCTATCCCAGCTGACATCGGGCGAGAGGCAGGGTACACCCTGGACAGGTCGCCAGACTATCGCAGGGCTGACACATAGAGACAGACAACCACTCACGCTCACATTCACACCTACAGACAATTTAGAGTTATCAATTAACCTAATCCCCAATCTGCATGTCTTTGGACTGTGGGAGGAAGCCGGAGTGGCACTTTGTGGCACTATTCCTACTAGAAAAACACTAACAGGTTTCTACAAAACACCCCCGTTTGGTGCCCGAAAAGCCATTCGAAAAACAGTGACAGGTCGCTACAAAAGATCCCCGTTTGGTGCCCAGAAAGCTGCTGGAAAAACAGTGACAGATCGCTACAAAAGACCCCCGTTTGGTGCCCAAAAAGCTGCTGGAAAAACAGTGACAGATTGCTACAAAACATCCCCATGTGGTGCTTGAAAAGCTGCTGGCAAAACAATGACAGGTCGCTACAAAACACCCATGTTTGGTGCTTAAAAATCCACTGAAAAATAGCGATGGGGCACCACAAAGAAAATCTTGTTTGATGCTTAAAATGCCACTGGTAATACAGTGACAGGTCACTACAAAACACCCATGTTTGGTGCCTTAAAAGCAGCTAAAAAACAGTGACTAGATGCTAAAAAACACCCCCATTTGGTGCCTGAAAAACTGCTGGAAAAACAGTGACATGTTGATGCTAAACACCTGTTTGGTGCATTAAAAGCTGCTGAAAAACAGCAACGGGGCGCCATAAAAAACCTTGTTTGGTGCCTATGTAATGGAGTTAATATACAGTATGTATGATCCCACTTGCCATGGCTCACACTGCTTTATTTTACTTTCTCTGAAACGGATTTATTTCATGGTCAGTGAACACAACACCCCTGCAGACTAGGGTTGTGTAGCCCGGAAGATAGCAACACTTTGGCTGTGCTGTCTCCCTGGTAGGTGCACATGTTATCAGCTCCGTAATTATTTTGTATTAATTATCTTAACTTTATATCTAAGGGGTTGTGTATGTTACCTTTTGTAAGACTGGAGCTCCCAATTGGTTGAGCACGTCCTACCGTAAAAGTTGACAGTGTTTTTAATTATTTGTGTGTAACGTGGTTAGCATAACTCAGGGTTTAGCTAACTTGCACTCCTTTTTTATTTGATATGCCCAGTGTGAGAGCACGTGTATGAATGGGGCCAAGACTGACTGTAAAAATATTTTCTCTGCCAGGTACACTTTTTGTGTATTTTATGTTCATTGTAAAAACTAAGAACACTTGGGCTGCGCTGTCTCCCTGTGTGAGAGCACGTGTATGAATGAGGCCAAGACTGACTGTGAAAATATTTCCTCTGCCAGATGCGGGAATAAACGGCGGGTGCCAACAGTGCTTCATGACTGATTTTTCTCGTGATTATACACAACATAAGAGAGAGTACACAACCGCTACACCTACAAAAGCCACTGGTAAAAAAAGATCACTACAAAACACCCCCATTTGATGCCTAAAAGTCAGCTGGAAAAAAAGCAGCGACTTTGGTTTTGTTGTGTCTGTTTATGAGCCCAGAGAACACTAGCAACCATATATAATGCTGATGGGGATCATATATACATATAACAACAATAAAAGGCTGAAAGAAAACATCTGCTGGGACATCACTCGAGGCCACAAGTGCATCATGCTTAAATATTTTAACCGAGCGGTTCAGCAGCAGTTATCTGTCCCCTTTGATTCAATGTTGATTCACCCAACAATCAAACAAACCCGTGTGGGCAATTATCAGAGGTTTTACCTCGAACACGTACTGTGAAAACTAATACTGGGAAAATGTGGATTCAAATATGAATATGAACAGTTGATTAAATCATTTGCTCAAACAAGACATCAGACATTTCAGGTGTCAGCATCCTGCTGAGAAAAATAACGGCTGACAACAGTCTATGACCTCCCCCTGACTTTGTGAGAGATTTAAATGAATACAAAACATGATAAATTTTTAAAGCCTTCAATATGGTGTCATCTGGTCCTCTGTAGGCTCCTCTCACAGTGCGACGTGCATCCAATGCCTCAGAGCTGCCAATGCTGCAGTGCTCGCTGAGGCTTTGCTCTGTGATTAACTCTTATGCGATTCAGCAGTGAAACAATAAACAGGAAAGACAGAGCCAGCACACCTCATAAGTCTGGCTGAGGGTTAACTTGATCTTTTAGGGGAGTTGTTGTGTTGTGTCATTATAAAGGAATTATCATTATGAATGTTTTAAAGCCGTGAGGGAAAAAAAACTGCGAGGGCGCCTACAGAGTGGCCAACAATAATTACTCTCCGAGCGCTGCTGCTTGTCTGGTCAACGGCTGAGTCGCTATGGATACAGGTCTCAATTTCACACCATGCAACTTTATGCTCAGTTGAAATTGAGGAGTACTCTGTTTATTCTGTGCAGACTAGTTTTCTCACCAGGTGACCATCTCCCGCCAATTAAACCGTGTTTGAACTGCCTGTTAAATTCCCTTCACAGTTTCACCTGCCAGGTCTCCTATCCCTGACTCTGAGGCTGTAGCCATGGAGTTAACATGTGGGGGGACCAGATCTCCTTCGACCCCACCCTTGGAGAAAAATTTGAAACTAATTTTGTATTATATTATTTATAAAAAGCAAGTACAGCTAAACAGTATACTATGTGAATATGCAAGAAATAAAAGCTACTACTGTCTGCATAAATTACACATGCAGCACAACAAAAAATGAGACAGATCACATGAGTGATCTGATAAATATAACATAATAAAGACATTAATGCTAGTTCAATACACCTGTGAGCACCATTGATGGTTGCTGGGTGACCGTGTGTCTAATTAACTGCAGGCATTTTTACTTTACGTCCACTGTACAAAAATGAAGCCAAAATATCCCTAATACAGCCGCTGCCATCTTGCATTGGTGACATCATTTGGAGCCAGTTTATACAGTAGCAGTCTGCGGTTTTAAGGTCTTGCCCATACACCCTTCTGACCAATCATGAGCAGCGCTATTGGCACGCACAGCTGTCAATCATGACATCAATCCTCCTTTTTATAGCATCAAATAACTAATTAAAACCAAACTTATAAGAAAAACAAGCATTTGAACATGCATCAGTACGATAAGAAGTACCAAATGACGAAACGATCTTTGGGGAAATGTATTTGCCAATGTCCCATCTGCTAACATAAAGGGGGCCGGGTTTATGACCTTTACTGTAGCCAGGCACCAGGGGGTGCTCTAGATGTTTTGGCTTCACTTTTGGGAAGCTGTCATGTCATCCAACTTTATATACAGTCAATGGTTGCAGTGCAGAATCATATATTAACATATACGTTACCTTTTCATGCTTTACCTGACTATTAGTACGTTGTTACAATAATAACTTTCCCACCAACAACTTAACATTAACAGATCCTAAATTTTTGCAAAGCTGGTGAGTGAAATATGTTTAAAAGGTATGAGCTGTTTGCTAGCTAAGGCACAGATTGTATGCTAGCTAGCATTCCAACAAAGGATGTCCTGATCTGGTCTCAAAGATTGGTATTGGGGCCGATCAAGGCCCTTTTTAACAATCGGGATCAGCTATATTGAGTTAAATAGAGGATCCAATATTTGTTTGAGGACAGCTGTCACACAGATGTTTATACTTGCCAAGCTGTCATGCAAAGACTTATGGAGTGCATCCATCTCCAACTCTCCTGTTGTCTTTCTCTCCACCACTCCACTGAGCTCCCATGTGTGTGTAAGAGCAGGGGCCTAGCTCTCCCAAGACGAAACACCACATGCCATAACCGACAGCAAAAGTGCAGTATGAGACTGTTTACCGTTTATTTCACAAAATCGATTTTGACCCCAGGCGTTTAAAAGAACCAGGGGCTATTTGCTCAAGGCTTTTTTTTTTTCTTTTTTTTTTTTTGCACCGACCTGCACCAGGCCGTTATTCGGTTACAGTTCCTGTCCAGGATGTTTTTTAGTGCAAAAATACTG